AGCATTCATGAGGGTTCTTTTATGTATCTTTGCCCTGGCCTATCCACTTGATGTAAACTGTCATGGTACTTTGATGATTAATCTTTACAACTTGGCGGAATTTAGAATCACCTAGGAGACAAACATCTAGGCCTGTCTGTGAAGGTGTTCCTAGTGAGGTTTAACTAGAGAGGGAAGACCCATAGTGAATGTAAGCACCACCATTTGCTGAGATCCCAGACTGAAGAGAAAGGAAAAATAAAAAGGAGCATTCACCTCTCTCTGCTTCCTGACTACACAATGTGCCCAGTCACCTCAGGCTCCTGCGGTCACCCCATCCCTTTGTGATGGACTGTATCAGAAAACTGTGAGCCAAAACACACTTAATTCCTTAACTTGCTTATTTTTCTTTTTCTTTGTTATTTTATGTGTATGAGTGTTTTGCCTGCAACATAAGCATGCAATACCTGTGGAGGCCAGAAGAGGACGTTGGATTTCCTGGAACTGGTATTACTGATGGTTGTTAGCGGTCACGTGGGTGCTGGGAACAGAACCCAGGTCCTGTGCAAGAGTCAGTGCTCTTAACTGCTGAGCCGTTTCTCCAGACCCCCTCAATATGCTTCTTGCCAGGTATTTTGTCACAGCAACAAGTAAATTAACTAATACAAGTGTCTTTTACTTTAACGAGTTAGTAAACTTTTGCAAAGAGTATCTGGTGCTCTGTAAGCATTTTATAGAGTCAAATATAAGTAAGCAAATAAAAGATTACTTATTTAAAGTTAAATGTTAAGGATTGAGTTTGGGGCCCTTCCTCAATCTCTGCGAGAAGCCTTGCTCTCCACCAACATGTGCTATGGGGGGAACTGTTGGTCAGTTTCTTTGTTAACCTGGGGAATGACTAACGGTCTACTTCCCTGTTGTCTAGCCTTGAGCACCTGGGTTTTCAGCCTCAGTTATATTTTCTTTTTGGAATATGGAATGCTTTCAACCCCCTTTGTCAAGATAAGGCATTTCAGTGTAGAGAGATTTTTGCATGTGCGTGCACAGCAGCAGGTTCCCATTAAACCTCCACTGGTCACACCAGCTCAGAGGGCTCCTAATGAGCAAGTCTGTTTCTCTGTTCTGTGAGATATACATGGCCCCAGACTCAGGCACTGTAAGAGAACCTCCAACTGAAGAATTGAGCCTATTTTCCTGGATTCACTCCCCTGCTGAGGTTAATATGCTCCCATGGTAACGGTAATTGGAGGTGGAACTTCTGGGAGGCAATTAGGATTAAAGGAGGTCATGATATTGGGGCTCCCATCATAGCATTAATGGGTTAACAGGAAGAGGAAGGAAGATATGGGTTGGCATGCTTGCCTTGCTCTGTGGCATGAGACACCTACATGATGTACCATGCAGAAGGAAGGCCCTCACCAGAAGCCACACTTCAGTAGTAGACTTCCAGCCAAACTAAGCAAATCTCTCTTCTTCATAAACTACTCTGTCTGCATGGAGTCAGTTGCAGTAACAAGAAATGGACTAAATAAATACAAGTATCCCTCAAATATTATTTGCTATAAAAATTGGAACAAAACTGGACAAAAAGCCAGTTTTCTTACTCTCTAGGCCTCTTCCTTGGCAATGTATCTAAGAGCTGAGAGGTTCGCTCAGTTAATGCACAGGAGTGCACTGTCACCAGCAAGTTCACTCATCATGTGGTCTAAAGTAGTCGGCATAAACAATGAGTGAAAAACACTGTTAAACTATATATGACTTCTGTAATCCTTTATATTTAAACCTTAAAAAGTAACAGTGAAACCTCTAAAGCTGATGTTGTTTCTGATGCACCAAATGATTAAATAAAAATCATTGTTGTAGAGAAGACTCTGGTAGAATTCAATGTCTTCTGGTGGACGTTCATTGACGTCAGCAACAGTTTACTACAAGTCTTGTCTTATCAGTTCTCTCTAGAATGCTTGTTCCTAACTCCTAGCCCTTATCTCGGAGTTGGCCTTCTCCAGGGTTGGTAATGGTATGTCTACTACTTAAGCTCCAAGGCTTCAGGCCAAGCTGGCTATGAAAGAGGTCCTGGCTGCCCCTCCCTGATTCCATCACTTCTCTCCAGCCCAGTTAAGAACAGTAAACAATTTTATTTCACTCTGTTGATTTCTTGATCACTTAGAAGTATTCTGAAACTTTTCTCAGAACTGGATTTCAAGTTGTTTTCAAAACAAAAATTGTAAAGGTTCTTACTTGACATGGAACATGGAAGAACTTCACTTAAAAGAGCAATTGGTGGTACGCACCTTTAGCCCTGCTATTTGGGGTGCAGAGGCAGGCAAATCTCTGTGAGATCAAGGCCAACCTGGTCTTTATAGTGAGTTCCAGGCCAGCTGGGGCTATTCAGAGACTCTGTCTCAAAAAGATAAAAAAAAAAAGTGCAATTTTAATTTTTTAAAGACTTATTTTATTATTATTGATGTGTATGTGTGGGTGTGGGTATAGGCTTAGCACATAAGTGGGCACCCCTGAAGAGAAATGTTGGACTTCCTGGAGTTGGAATTACAAACTGGCAGTCGTAAACTGCCCACAGAGGGTGTTGAGAAATGAACTCAGGAGCTCTGGAACAGCAAAGGGCACTCTCAGCTGCTCAGCTAATTCTCCAGCCTAAAAGCACATTTTATAAAAAAAAAAAAAAAAAAAGGGTCTAATACTTTTGAGCTGCGCTTGCTGCCTATCAAAGAACGTACAGACAAGTCCACACCCTTAAGGAAAATGTGGAAATGTGTGTAGGAAAAGTGTCTCGTTTCTCAAAGATTTCAGCTTTCTAGGTTTGACTACATTTTGACATTGGAGGATGCAGATCCGACTCAGAGACAGAAAGGACAGTACTAGAGACAGGAAAGTTAAACCAGCAGTTACAAGGTTGTGGGCTTATGGCTCTTGCTTTTCTTCTTTCCTTTCATTGAAGAGGACAAAGGAATATGCATTGATAGGGAAACCTGGTCCAGGGATCGTGAACTTCAGCCTCCCACAGCTCTCTCTCTCTCTCTCTCTCTCTCTCTCTCTCTCTCTCTCTCCAGCAATATTGTGGAGGAAAAGGTGGGGTGTGGGGAAGAGGGAAGCTGGTGGGCAGAGAACAAGAAGAGGAGGACACAGGGCCTAAGAGGAAGGAGAAGGATGCGACACGAAGGAGGGAGCGCAGAAACCCAGGGAAGAGCGAGGCCCGGCTTAAAACATACCAAACGCCTCCAATTAAAGTTCTGAACATAAAACCATGCAGGAAGTGCTCTAAAAAGCCAGTGATTATTCTTCAACATGGGGGCAAGTGAGGAGAGAAAAAGCAGCAAAGAACGCAGTGCATGGAATACGGAGAGAGGGGGAGAGGCCAGAACCACCTCCCAGTCATCCTGCCCAAGGTGTGGAAAGCATTTCTTAATAAAGTGTGAAGTTTTGGCTAAATCCAACTTCCTGACATCAAAAGTGATGCCAGGAGCCACTCTGAGAAACAAAGCCTTTTCTTTTTCCTAAAGTGGAGAAAATTTTGTTTTTTCTGTGGTCTTTCTACCCTAACCTAGGTTCTCTTTCCATTCATTACTGGAAGAGGCTGGAATAAGGGAGGGGTGAGGGACCCCTGCAGGGCCAACTCCACCCCACAGATCTCAACCTCAACCCCACCCTGAGTTTATTGAAAGTTGTCAAGATAATTCTGGTCTACCAACCCCAGCCAGTGGTCCTGCTGTTAAAACAGGAGTGCACACATGCATAGTCACACTTTCTTCATCACAAAGTTGTAAACTGTCTCAGTGAGATAGTGGAGGTTAAAAAATAATGCAATATAGATATCTCCAGCTACAGGGAGAAGAGTTTTATTTCATAAATGGAGTTGCCTTGATTACCAATCTGCTTGCAAAAAAGCAAACTTAGATCCCATCTCATTCCACGTCTGAAAATAAACCTTCAGTGGATGAAAACGCAAAGAAGAAAATTTAAATGTTGATGCTAGATTTGGAAAAAAAAATCCTTAAGATTAAAAAAAAAAAAACCAGAAACCATTTTTTTAAATAAGGCATATTTAATTAGAAAAAAATTCAAAACCCTATACTTATGGAAGCACACAAAAAATGAATGTGGTGGCACATGCCTGTTATCCTAGCACTGTGGAGGTATAGATAATAACATCAGAAGTTCAAGGTCATCCTTGGCTACTTAGGGAGTTTGATGCCATCCTGGACTAGAGACCCTGTCTCTTCAATAAACAACAACAGATAACATACAAAAGATAGAGACACTTACTGGTGCCAAAGATTTTTGCTTTGCTCTGAATTCAGGCAAAAATAATTACTTAAAATGTCAATAATGGGGCCAGGTGTGGTGGCACATACCTTTAATCCCAGCACTTGGGAGGCAGAGGCAGGCGGATATTTGTGAGTTCGAAGCCAGCCTGGTCTACATAGTGAGATCCAGGACAGCTGGGGCTACAAGGAGACCCTGTCTCAAAAAAGACAAAAAAATAAAAAATGTCAATCATGGACCTGATGTTCTGAGCCTTAGATGGACTTCAGTGAAGGTTTCCTGCAGACTCCCTGCCTCTGGCCACCTGCTTCAGGATCTCTCGCTCCTAAGTTCTGAAGTCCACTGGGAGGTCATTGAATTACATATGTCTTAGTTCATGTGTTAACAACTCATGAGTGCTCAGGATAGGACAAGACTGTGTTTCTGTATGAATTATGGTTAAAATGAAAGTGAGGCAGAAAGAAGCAATTATACCTCAAGGTTTGAGGTATAATTGCTTTTTTCTGCCTCACAATAATACTATTGTTAATAATATTAAACAATCATATTTTTTACTCTGAATACATTTATTGGCTATATTATAAAGCATATAAACATGTAATGAGAATATTCTTTCGAAGAAGCATAAAGAACAAGGAAAAGTAAAAGAAATTACATTAAATCTGATTCTTCCTCCTCTGTTTTAGTGTTGGGAAAAATGATAACTTCAGTAGCACACCCTTATAAAAGGATTCCTTCAAGTTTCTCAATATTTTTTAATAAAATGACATCAGTTGCTGAAAGCATTACAATCTTTGTTATGCTACATAATACTGATACAAAATGTGAATAGTACAAAGTTCATTATATATAATATAAAGTTTTAATATATTACATTTGTTCTACATAACAGACTATAAATATATGCGCCATAGCATGTTTTAAAGTCCTTGTTCTCAGCCTTTCACACTATGGTACCAAATGAAAAATAGAGTTTCTTTCTTGAAAGGAGGATAGCAGAAGGGCAAACGTCCAGTAGAAATAGCTTTATATGTTAAAAGTCTAAATAATACAATAGGTGTTATTATAACCTTGGCTATAAGGCAATTTTGAAATCTGGCTAATGATCATTTATTCAGAAAGTGAATAAACCAAATCAGATTTTCTGTTGTGTAGAGGCCATCAGGCTAAAATACTGAGGATCTGGGGGTGACCTGGGGGTAGGGGAGGGACAAAAGGATGGCACCTTCCTAAGCCTGCATCACTACAGCTTGACACAGAACCCATTGAACTCAGCCTCGACACTGCCACCAGACAGACATGTGGCTATTCACCCAGAAGAAATTCTGAGTTGCTTTGTGCAGTAAGAAGTCTTCAACACGACAGGGAGCCTTGGGCCAAATGTCCTCTCTTTGTGGTGTTCCTAATAAAGGATCAGCCTGGGAGACAAGGAGCCAGAGCTGCCTCATTTCCTTCCTGGAGCCTGGCCAAGAGACACGTAAGAGTCCGGAAGGAACTCTCATTAGGAGTCGGAAACAGCATAGGGAACTCACCTTTAGCCCAACTGCGAAGAGCACGCAACCTTCTAAAACCAGAAACCTCGCTGGTCGCCTTTGCATTTCCTGACAGGCCACATGCCCACCTCCACCAGAGCCAGCACAATGCATCTGCAGGCTTCAGCGCACTCTCTAAGCAAGCTCATGCCTTCCTTCCTATCAGTCCAAATCCCACACTTAAGACTTGGCTCACAGCCCACATCCTCCACAAAGCCCTTTAGGTAGACTTGGCCTTAGCATCTTATCTTATCAACCAAAGCACTATCATCGTCCATTTTACCCATTTTTACAGATGTGTCCAATGCCCAGGTATGGCTACTTCTTGGAGACAGAGCCCTTGTTTGAATGTCTTTTGTTTTAACTCATGGTGAGACCCATGGCTGGGGACATTACACAGGCTTTTTTAATAAATGAAAAAGAGTCAATCCAACACATTCTTGGGTCACAGGCATCTTCTCTTTAAATGCCCAGATAACTAGCTCTTTGCAGTTTGAGGTCCTTTTTCTGAAATGAAAATCAAATGTGGCTACTTCCAGGTGATGGAAAGAACAACACTTGAAACTCTAAGCAGCACCTCTCTCACAATTTCCAGGAGTCGGGAGTGTGGGCACCCGCTTTTAAATAGGAGGTGAGCGCAGTGTGGTCCCACAGTCAGCCTGCACTGCAGCCTCCACCAGCTTTAAAAGTTCCGCCTCCTCGCTGGAGTACACAGTGGTGTCTGTGTCATCCGAGTGATACCCAGACTGGTAGCCACTAGTCTGGTTGGAGCCTTCGGAGGCCACGGACTCCCTGCTTTTGCTGGGCATCATTCCACTGTGGGAGAAATGACAACCAAATGAGTCGGAAGGGAGAAGACAGTTCCTTGGCTTTTTACGCTCACCCCATTCCCAGCTCCAAGGAGGCCGAAATACCCTGGAGACATACCCGCCTTTATCTCTCCCTTGTCCTAATCAGCCTATCAGGTTTACTCAGACAAGGTCTACTTTCAGGTACTAGCCTGAGTTAGTAGCTGCAGATAAGTCCTCTTATTCAGGTCCCAGTCTTTCAAGCCTGAGACGAGATAAAAGGCAATTTTGCTGAGGTATGCCAAGTCTCCAACCAATGGAACACTTTTACAGCCTTGATGACTGACAAGTTTGTATACAATGACAGGAGCCAGAGGGTCTCTTTCATGATATTAAAGGAAACTGGGATACTCTGAAAGTTCACTTGTGTTTTCTCCCTTTGGTGATTTGGGGGACTACACAGCATGTGTAGGATGTTAATAAGCTTGTTGAGCAACTAACTTTACACTCAAATAACTGGCAGAGTGTGTGCAGTCAAGCCAGCCATGTCAAGAACTGCTTTCTACTCATCAAAACCACATTCCTTGGATGGACTAGGGATCCAGTCACTCAGCAGCAACTGGAGAATGTTTTCGATGGCAGAGTAATCACGTCAAAGCTTATGCATGTAGGCTGTGTGGATAGTGACGCTCAGGGCTTGCATTCTGTTGAATACTGCTAAGGGGTTCATATTAAAATCCACAGAAAGGATTTTTTTCCCCTCTGTGTTCATATATGGTTTAAAGTTAGTTCAAAACACGGGAAATACATTTTTTTCTTTCAATCCAACTCCTACCCAAACTAGTTCATATCTCAAGCAATGGTATGATGCTTGACTCAGTAGTTTCTGAATAAATATGTTTTGAATCAGTGAATGGAGCATAAGACTGGCCCTCACAGTTTCTTACTAGACCTTAAAGAAAATAGTAAAATTGTGCACTGCCTCCTTTATTGTTACTGTTGTTAGTGCTGCATCAGCGTCACTAAGAAACCCGTGGGAATCTTCATTTCATGCAGCAACCACGTTACATGTGGATCAAATCTTTTCTATTCCTACCTAGAATGAACTCATTGGCAAACAAATAACTTCTTTTATACCGTTATTCTTATGAATGTAGATTTTCATAATTTTTTTGTGCTATAAAAGCAGGTACACTGATTCAAAGAAACAGCACATTCCTTTTGAACCATAAAGGGAAAAACCTACTCAAAACCAAATTTAATACTTTTCTGACAATTAAATATGCAATGATTCAAACAATAACACTTAAAATATATTAAGGAAGTCAATATGTATCTATATACCATGTTTCTTAAGTACAGATAAAACTGTTTAAGTATCAGTTTGGAAATTCTTTACAGCTCCAAAGTCTTAAGTTGTCAGGATCATGTCCATCAACTTTTTTGTTATTTAGCCAGTGTCATACAAACTACAGACTACAGTAAATATGTTCAAAAGTCCTAGAGTCTTCACAAATCTTGTCGTAGAAATTGACCAAATACTCTCAGGTTTATTTTTAGACTTGTCTATTTCATTGTTTAGTTTGTTTCAGTTCTTTGTTAAGTTGCTAATTTAAGATGTTAATTTCACCAACCTTCAAAGACACTAAAAGGGGACACCACATTTACATTATATTTGTGGTTATTAGTTCCTTCTGAAATTCCTATTGAAATGGTCTTTTTTATTTGGTCGACTCTTACCTAAAAGATGGAGCTAATTTGGTTCTGTCTTCCAGAGTTTTCAGCTCTTCTGATGCAAGAACCATCCCACTGTCTGTCTGATTGTCCTTTTTAAGAGACAATGAGATGACACGGTTGAGTTGAGTGTAGACATTGACCAACTATTTAGTTAAACTGATTTCTTAACCCATCTAGCAGACAATATGTTCCAGTATCCTGCCGAGGAAGGTAAAAGTATGAGACCCACAGAAGGAAGAAAGCACTTCCTGGAAGCAGACCTGGGCTAAGGAGAGAGGAAGGGTCTGAAGCAGCTGTGGGTGCCAATGTCCTCTTCTGTCTTCAATGATACCATATGCACTTTAGTGAACTTGGGCACAAAGTTAGACTATCTTGAACCTCAGACCAGGCACTTTTCATATGGAAAAACCATAGTCCCATCTCCATAATGACCCCGTTGTACATACTCTCAAAGACAGCCTTACAATGAGGTTCCAAGATTCAAATGCTTAGGCTAATATTTGTCTAGCTAGTATTTCACTCTTGGTATTATTTCTAAGGCTATTTTTAAAAGATGTACTTACATCTGGGATTACTTTTACTTCTGGTTCTTCCAATGGGATATCTTCAAATGTTTTTACACTCACTGGCCGACTCTTTCGCTTACTGTTCTGCAGATACTGACTGTAAGAAAACAAATATTTGTATTTGAATGGTGGTACCACAAGTGCTACCTAACTTCATTATCTTTCAACCACAAATTTAACAGCAACCTCCAAAACATCCTTTGGAAAAAGAAAAACAAAATTAAAAGAAAAAAAACCTTTCTTTGCTAGCTTACACTGAAGGCTTAATTTCCTGTGAAAGTCCATTTACAAGTATAATATCACTGAGGAGGGCACAGGAGGTCTTGTGCCTTTGAATCATGCTTCTGAGGCCCAGTGCTGGACTAAAGACAACAGTAGCAGACAGACTCAGCAAGCAGCTAGCTGCCTTCTGATGGGCGTCCTCCCTGGATGAGATTCCTCCACTGAGCTCTGTCTGGCTGTATTGCTGTATGCCTCCCAGCTTTCTAGCCACCTTCAAAGAAAGTTATTCTAGCTAATGCTCACAGGGTAGCCTGGACAGGGGAAACACCTGTTGGTCTCCTTGAAGGATACTGAGCTGGGCAGTGCTCTCAAGAGCCCGTCCTCCTTCTGCATGTAACGCAGGTCTGGGACACAGAGGGAAGGTAGGCTAGGCTTCACCAGCCCCTGCCTTCAGCCCACAGAGCTGCTTACTTCAGGACAGGGCAGTGTCTTCAGAGTCTCAAGATACTTTGTGTAGTTTTGAGTCTCACTGACAATACAAACTTGAGAAAGTCATAACTATTTCTGCACTTCTGTCACCCCATTTTTAAGGTGTATTGGTAATAGCTATTTCTAGCTCACGAGAATGTTAGGAAGATAAACAGCATGGCAAATGTTGGGCTTAGAGTTCTTAGGAGGCGTAATATTCTGAAGACTTTCAAAGAATGAAACTTGTGTCAGACAACACGTCCCCTGTCCCTAGGGGTTACTCCTTCCCTGCCACATGATATTCTGGGGAATCCAGAGATCCTATCAAAACCTCTTACAGCCCAAAAGGAGATAAGAGAAGCCCTTTCTTTCCACAGAAGAGACCCACAGGGACAACAAATACATTCTTCATGCTTCTCCCTTGACAAGTAGCCTGCTGGCACAGTGCATAGATTCCGGGTGAGGGTTGAAGAACAGAAGCTCAGTGTCTCTCCTCTTTTCCAAAAAGATGGTTCCTCCCCACACAGAGGAGAAAACAAGTTTTGCCAGTGGCCACCTTACTCAAGAGACTCCTCAAGAAAGAAGACATGAAATACAGAGAACAACCAAGACCTATTTTCTCCTAAGCCCAGTAGTGGTTGTCAAAAATGGCTGCCATCATAACCATTCACTCATTCAGGAAGGCCTGTGGGAGTCTGCCACACATCAAGCACTGTGCTGAACGCTCTTCAAGCATCACCAGCACAGTATTACTCCCCCCCTCCCCCCGGGGCAAATATTGTGTCAACCTTTCAGGTGAGGAAATTGAGTTACAGAAAGGTTACAGAATGTATTCAAAACCACACAGCTAGAATCTTGGATTATTGTGGGGCAGCGAGAAACCACTGAAGAATTTTAGGCTTGGGCTCGACAAGATCAGATATGCTCTTTAGAAAGTTGGTCGTGAACTGAAAAGGAGAAGACCAAAGGCAGTGAAGCCAGTTAGGGCTTACCCAGCAGGAAAAGGGGGAACCTGTTTAAAGAAAAGGAATTCCCATGAGGTTTGGAGCAGTGGTTGATTCCACAGACATCTGAGTATAGAACGAGGCAGAGTCAGAAGGCAGAGGCATTACACAGTTGCTTTGACATTCTGAGCCCAGTGCTCAGCTTTATTGTACGGTCTTTCACGGATGACAAAGTGTTTTCCCTGACATTGTTGAGTCTGCTCCTTATAATACTCCAAATCAGCTCTCTTATGTCCCACCTAGAGATGAGAAAGCCAATGCTCAAGGAGAAAATAGCTAATGAAGGGTACAACTGGGACTCACACTTAGTCTTGCAGGTTCCAAAGCAAAGGTTTGCAAGGCTGATTTACCACATCCCATTCTATACTGACTCCCTTAGAAGAGTTATCAGGAAGGAAAATCAAGGAGAGCCGAAGACATGACTGCTCAAATTTATGGAACACTGACCCTGAGGTGAGTGAGTGTGTGGGCTCAATGTGGAATGTGGAACAAAGAAAAGCTAAGAAACAAAAGCCCCAATTCAAGTAGTCCAGCATCATAGCCAGATCTAGGAACAGCTAGCCAGCAGGCTGTCCCAGGAATCAATCCACCACTAGCAATTAATCAAAATGAAGGAAACTGTATGAACCAATACCTTTCTCTGAAAGAGAAATGCAAAGAAATCTTTGATAAACTGCTCGGAGTGGGAGGTGAAGCTCCCAGAGGAAATGACAGCCACCACAGACGGTTCACAAACTGCCATCCAGAAGAGATGAATCCAATGAATATGGTTCTTCTTCGGGAAGCATGCAAACTTGGGGCCAAAGCCCACCCACAGGGGAAATGGAGACAAAGCTAAGTCTAGACACAAGTGGTCCTCCCCTCCCACACTTCTCAGTCTCTTCTCTAAATAAATGCTGAACAAATATTTTTAAAATAGTTTAAAGGAGCAACAAATCAAGAGGTTGGCTCCCACAGTGATGTCTCTGTCCAGCTATATTTAGAATGCGATGGAGTTGAAAACTATTAAGAGGATGCAAAATGAGGCTCGGTTTTTCTATTTGATTGGAACTGTGAAAATGGACAGAAGTGCCCTTGCTTCAGCTGTATGCTCCCCAGAGAAGCTGAACCACAGGAGAGCCCCGTAACACAGGGTGCAGAGTGCTGACACGTCTGTTTCCTTTAACTCAGACCACTGTAAGGTGACCTGGAGTTTTATTTCTATAAAGTGGAGAATAGATGAGGGGGTTGGGAGGGGATGTAAACAAAAGTTTTCAATTTTCATTTTATTTTTCAATTTATGGATGGCTAAAAGAGAAACTAGCCTAGAAAGAAAGACTCATTCAAAACTCACAGACATAAAATCAGAGCCAGGCCTGGCTGGGCTGGGAGCATGATGTCATATTTGTCTCTGCTTCCGGGGAATCAATGCTAGTGGTCCCTTTTTAGACTCAGCATCACATTGGCATCTCTATAACCCAAACGTGACTTCCTCTTCTCTTAGCAGCATATGCAAAGCACCAGCAAGCCAAAAGACTCTAGCTAGCTCTGATCTCCTCTCTGCTTGGTCACAGAGCAAGCAGAGTGCAGTGAGCCATCAAATGGCTCTTTGGCTGAGGAGAAGGCAGTAACAGTGCGGCAGGAACAGTGATTGAGCCAGAAGCCAGATCAACCTGTTCTAGTAATCTACATACACGAGAGTTCCACTTCACGCTCTTCCTCTCTGAAAACCTCTCCGTGGAACAAGGAAAAACGGCACTGAGTCAGGTTTCAGAGGAGGTAGATTCACCTCAGGGGCCTGGCTGGAAGCAGCTTGGTTAACAGCTATCCTTTATGAAGTGCTTTCAAGTGCCAGACACTTAGAAATACATTATACCATACAATGTTCCTAACAGCCATTTTCAAACAGATCAGGGGCTTTTCCTTTATTTCACAAAGACTCTGAGGGGGTAGTTAGACAATTTGGGACCTGGGACAGACATGGGAGTCCATCCAGTTTTATTAGGCTCTTGTGTCCAGATCTTTAACCACAATAGTTTGGGCTGCCCTGGGTGACTCAGCTGTGTTAAGCATCCAAACTAGATCATTGTCTCTACTTTGCCTAAGTCCAGAGTTCCACATTGCCAGAAATCTGATAATATATAGAAAATTCTTCAGAAGATACTGACTGCTCTAATGGAAAGGCAGCTTGCTGGGTGGTGTCTAACCATTCAAAGCTTGCTTTCTTCTCTCTCACTAGTCTTTCTGCTGTCCTAAACATCTCCAGGGCCTCCTCAGTCTCCCCTGCTGCAGAGCAACTGGGTCAATGTCTCAAACATAAGAAAGCTGCCTGTTCCTCCTGCTGCCTGGGCCTACTCAGGAGGTCAGGTTAGACGCATTCTGTCAGCGGTTCCAGTTACAGAAGGATGACACGCAAAGCAAAGGGAACCTGTTCCAGGCTTAAGAAAGGCAATGCTAATATCATATAGTGGCAAATCACATCAACGCTTTCCTTATGAACCGGTGCTGGGAGTGAGAAGAAAGTTGCCTGCAGAGACCTTCACAGACCAGGACAGAACTGCAGGGCATGTGTTTCAAATAAGCTCAGCTGTCCCATTATGTAGCTAAAATGCTGAAAATCAGACTGGGGAGGGACTTCTGAGATACTGTGTCCAGCCCAATTCAGGACATAGCCTATGGCACTCTGTGTCCTCACCAGAGAGCCCTGAGTATGTTTCATATTTACACAGAACTCTTCCTGAATTTTTCCTAAGTCACTTCATTCACATTAATAAAAGTGTACACAGGGACCATTTTAATACAGATGTCTCAGTAAAATCACTCTCTTTTTTCTGGAGATTAACTAACTGTGGCATTTCAGTTATTTGAGGCCTCAAGGCTTAGAATTAGAGCTGTGGCAGCAACATGGGCCACAGATGGGCGGCAGCTCACCTCTCCAGGCCTTCTTGGGGGCGCACTGCCCTCCAGAGCGCTGGGACTACAGTTACAGCAGCCTCACAGAATGTCTTCCTCTTACCCCCTCCCGCACTTCTCCAGACTGGCCTTAAGGCCCCCCTGAGGGGATGCTGGCCATATAAAGTACCTGATTCCTGCTGTGTTGTCATAATGGAATTTGGGGTCACACACTTCCTCTTCCTCCATACAGGAAACAGGTGAGGTGGGCAGGGAGAGTCCAGAATCCTCTTCCATGCTCAAAGTCTCTGACATTGGAAGAACAATGTAGTCTTTGCCATCCTGAAACAATAAACAGAGTACGCTGTTGTTATGGCTGCCGTCTTTCACGGGGCCTTTCCATGAAAAGCAAAGGCCACGGGGGCTTCTTGGCTGTGTGAGTGCTGCTTCATATCTGAACAGGACTTCAGGACCACATAAAATGGTTTCACATTTTATTTTATAAAATTTGTGTGTGCATGTTTGTGTGTATATGTGTGTGCACACATGTGTGCATGTCATGACATGTGTGCAGAGGTCAGAGGACAAGTTGCTTCTCTCTTTCCACCATGTGAGGCTGGGGGATTGAACTCATGTTGTCAAGCTTGGCCACAGTTGTCTTTGCCTACTGAGCCATCTCACAGGCCCCCATCTACTGTCCTTGGGTTGCATCTTCAAATGCTCTTCTAAGTTAAAACAATCTGCTACATGTGATGGTGCGTGTCTATAATCCCAGCACTCTTAAGGTTGAGACAAGAAGATCATAAGTTTCAGGCCAACCTGGGCTGCATAGTGAGTCCTTCTCAAAAACAAAACCAAAAACCAAATCTGATTAACTCACAGATTATTAAAAATGGAAGAAATTTCAAGGAATTTTTAGTAAATTGTAGAGGCAAAAGTAATACGTGCAAACTATGTAAAATAGATGTTTCTGGTCCCTCTTTGTAAAATTTCAGGCTCCTATAACTCCCCATAACACAGAGTTTTATCCTTTACCATTAGAAAGTTCATCTCTGTCAGTGATTTTACTACAGTGGAAACCAATCGCTTCCTCTTTCTTTCTGAACAGCTGAAAGTCAAGACCATTTTCACCAACAAGCCTTCCAAACACTTCAGTGGGTCAAGTCATCCTTTTCTCTTTCCCTTGAAAATAACTTCAAATTGTGTTACCCCTTTCTCAGAATTCTGTCTTTTCTCTTCATTGTCATCTGATTTTTCCTTTGCCTCAGAATACAGAGACTAAACTGGAGGCCATCTGCTTTGAAGGCCTTCCTATGGAAGTCTTCATGGAGGAATGGTTTCTGGGCTCCGTGTACTGTCCGTCTCCTCCATGACCACTGAGTGCTTTGCCTTCCTGGCAACCACTGGCCTCTGGTCCCTTTACCAATCCTGTTTCTATTCATGTTCTTTATTATACTTCTTTCATACAGCTCTTTCATGGGCTCTTTTGTGGTAAGTAGGTGAGAATGGGAGTCCTCCATTCTCAAGCTTGGAATTAGGCTGTCATCTGCCTACAGGACAGTTATGGCTTTTAGGGAGCCCTGATGCTCAGGACGGGAAGACAGTGGCTCCTTTTTCAGTGGCCAAGAGAACACGGTGTCATGAGAACATTCAGGCAGTAGAGTGTTAAATTGGAGATCCTCTATCTCAGGACTCTTTCTAGAAGCTTCTCAGGTAGAGGTTTACAAACCTGCTGAGCATTAGCTTGCAGAAGATTTCCCAAATGTTCTACCAACTCTGAAAATGAGGGTCTCTGGTTGGGTTCCTCATGCCAGCAGTCAAGCATGGTCTGGTACCTAGGGAAGCAAGACACTAGTTTCATTAACCACGTTTTTCTTCCTAAAACTAATGTTCAAAAGAAGCCCTGAATGGTAAACATTTATAAAATACCCACCAAGAGCCAACATGCTAAATAGAGATAAAAAAAAAACTACAAGAGACAGATGCCCACACTCAGAGGTCCAATTACCTATAGAAAGACAATAACACATCTACTAAAAACTCTTCGGGGAAGCTGGAGAGATGGCTCAGCAGTTAAGAGCATTGGCTGCTCTTGCAGAGGACCTGGATTCAGTTCCCAACACCCACATAGTAGCTAACAACCACTGGTAACTGCAGTTCTAGGGGATCCAATGCCCTCTCTGACTTCCACAGGCATTGACTAACATGGGTCCACTTACATACATGCAGGCAATACACTCATACATATAAAATAATAAGTAAACTATTTTTTAAACCTCTTTGGTATAGATAATTAAGTAGTGTTATTCTAAGACACAGTGACTGTGCTTGAGGTTACCAAGAAAGGGTCAAGGGAAAAGCCAGATACAAATAGGCCATGAAGGGGATACATCAGTAGGCAGCCTTCCTATTGGGAAGGATTTATGCACAAAGAAAGAGAAGGGTACTTTTCAGCCTTACATTTCTGGTGTGGTGTAGTCAGGGGCCCTCATTCTAGTTCCTTCTTTCAATCGCCTACAAAACTCCTCATCAATCTTTACTCCAGGATAAGGAGAAGCACCTATAAGACAGGAAAGGGGTACTGTGTGATTTGATTTCTTCATAAAAAGCACTAAGCCTGGTTCTTACACATCTTGTATAATGACGTATACAGGAATGTACTATGTAGCAACTATGCAGGTTCTTATGTTCTTCTGCATTTTACCATCTAAAACTTCCAAGAACTTCTACCTGACGGAGGTAAAATATAGGAGAGGGAAAGACATATTGGGGTCATCAACTATTATCATCTTATCCCTGCCACCAGAAGGAGGCGGACAACGAGAAGTGACTTACCTAAAGAAAATATTTCCCAGAGCAAAACACCGAAAGACCACACATCACTCTGAATTGTATATACTCTGTCAAAAATAGTTTCTGGGGCCATCCATTTCAAAGGGAGTCGGGCCTTAAAAGAGTGACAGACAAGAAATCAGAACCCAATTTAGCAAATATCTGCAGAAATGTTTCCCTTGCTTCCGAACGTAAATCTTGAAACCTGATATGAGGAAGTCAAATTCTGCACTTAATAGACCACAACGGTCATCTTGGAAACTTACATCTCCTTTTCTGACATAATCTGGGTCTTTATAAATATCCCGGGCCAATCCGAAGTCACAGATTTTAACCACGTTCTTCTCTGACAAGAGAATGTTTCGTGCTGCCAGATCCCTGTGGATACACTGGGAAAAGAACATTGTGTGTGTTAGATCTCTACATGGTTAATCTCTTTTACATCTGTTGTGACCTCATGCTTAAAAAAAATCTCACAGAGAACCAACTGATTAACAAGGACTGGAGTAGTATCTTAAACCAGCCCATGAGGAAAACGTCTGTGAGACACATCTGCTTATTCCATAAACAGCCCCAGTCTTTAGAGCTAAATGATTAAGTTACAGTGTGATGATGTACACAATTAAAAAATGTGTTTCTGGTCACATCCACACATCCTTTTACCTGGCACCCTAAATGGCTGAAACTGGATTACTCTAAGGAGGTCCCAGAATGGATTTATTTTGAATGGATGGGTGGAAATCATAAACACAGGGCTCTCACTGGTTTCGTGTGCTTGGTTGGCTTCCTAGTCCATCTGGAACTCAATCTGACTGGCTCTGGAGGTAGTTTCCAGGGGTCCTCACCCTCTTCCCAAAGTGCTTGCTATCCCAATAAAGGTCAACTGAGTTTGGTCTGGTCCAACAGAAGTGGAGCAGATTCTCTAGTGCACTAGAAATACAGTGGTGCTTTCCTTGGCTCTGAAACGATCTCTTCAGTTCCTCCAGTGATCTTTTCCCTTCATCCTCTAACCTCAAGTAACTTCCCACTAGTAAACAGCTATCTTAATTATGATCATAATTCTCACCTAACCTCCACAGGATAAATCTACAACAGAATAAGAACCACAAGGAGCATTAGAAATGAATGAAAGTCCTAGGTCAGCTCGGGAGTAGTCCTGGGAGCTGGGAAGTCCTGCTTCTTCCCATCTGGCAGCCCAGATCTATATAGCACTCTCCTCTGAATGAGAATATTCAGGATCATGTCGTCTAGTATGATTCAGTAAAACTGGAGTGTTAAAAAATATAGTATTCTTGCTTGCTCATAACCAGAGCTTCCTTTTTCAGTCTGATAATCAGGTCATATATATATATATATATTTTAAATCACATGGTGGCTATGTGAGATATGAAAGGATTCCCACTCTCTACCCTCCAATCACTACATCAATTCCTTTTCTAGTTGCCCAAAGGAGCCATGAATCAATAGTGAGTTCTAGCCTTTAAAAAAAATGACATGTGGCTGGAGAGACGGCTCAGCAGTTAAGAGCACTGACTGCTCCTGTAGAGGACCCAGGTTCAATTCCCAGCACCCATATGGTGGCTACAAACTGTCCTTAACTCCAGTTCCAGGGGAATCCAATGCCCTCTTCTGACCTCCGCGGCATTGCACAACATGGGTGCACTCACAAACATGTAGGCAATACCCTCATACACATAAAATAAAAATAATAAATAAAATATACATTTTTTAAATGACAAGAAAAGTGAATAATCTTTGAAAAGACACAATGCCCTTCTCTTTGGAAAGTCACTGTATGACGCTGTTTTCTCCCTTCTTTGGGAAAGAGAATACAAGAGAGCTATTCAGCTGAACTCTCTAAGGTCCTGAGGTTCTGGAATCTGTGAGAAGTTTTGAACTTCAGGGGTGGAAGTGGGTTAGGGATTTCACAATAATTTAGAAACAAAACAAATATTGAAGAGTCTTGTTCCCCAGGAGGCTACAGCAAATACATTTTTGTCAATAGATAGCTTTCCTGAAGATTAATCTGAACTTTTTCTACTGAATGTGAAACTAGGCACCTTTCCCTTCCCAAGGTCGGCAGTGACTCCTACCAACCTCCCTCCTGTCTCAGCCAGTGGTGTTTACAACCTTTGGAACATTTGTAACTTGTCACGTCCCCACTTCAGCCTTTGTTTGGCCCATTTTCTAATTTTAGATGTTTTAATCAGTCTCATCTTAAGCCTGGCCTTCCTGGTTTCTAATTATACTGCTAACAAATACTTTTTGATGGATAGTGATGAATGTAAAATAAATTAAAAATAGAGTCTCCTATACCAAGCTATCAGCCAGGCTCCATCTCTCACTTCTCTAGATCATTGTTCAAATGACACATTCTTAGTAAAGCCTTTCTCATCCACCTTGTTTAACACTGAAGTACACACATGTTAGCATATGTACACACTAACATGCCATTTCCACGCATTCTTCAAGGCCTTCCTGCTCTATTTAATGCCCCAACACCTACTCCCATCTAACCTGCCATGCACATTACTTGTTTATGTTGTTTACTGCTTGTTTCGTCCACTAGACTGTAAACACCACAAAGCTGGAGAAATCTCTTGCATGGTTGATCATGGTGGGACTTAGAAGACTATCCAGCACTTAGTGGTTAGTCAATAAATATTTATTCTATGAATTAATTTCATGAAACCCTAACCACCTTTCATTAGCAGAAACAGAACCTTCCCAAGGGAGCTCTTTCAAGAATCCTAGAGGTGATACACGAATTTCTATCCCAAACAGAGATCTCATCTCAAAGTCCATAAAGAAAAAGCTACCTCCCCCTGCCCTGTCTTACCTTCCGAGATGCCAAGAATTCCATGCCCTTAGCCACTTGGAAGCTGTAACAGATTAGATGCTCCAAGGTCAGGAAATCCTTATACAGGTCTTCAGAAGCTGTGAGACGAGGCAGAAAGACAGGGTTGGATAGCCTCACCAGCCAATAGCTTTGCTTCTAAATTGGCTAGACTGATCTATTTAAGACTTTGGAGGTCAATTTCAGAAACAGAAGCAGAGAGAAAGTGCCTTATCATCCACCCATTTGCTGAACCCCAATATTATTAGCCTACATCATACCTCAAGGTAAATAATGGTTTCTCCACTTTAGTCAAATTGAACTAGTAAACACCAAAGAGAGATAAGGTAAAATTGATACACACAACAGAGCAAGAAAGAGGACTTTTCCAAGTTTTCTCTTTTAAGCTTTTTGTTGTTGGGTTTTGGGGGGGTTTTGGGGGTTTTTTATTTGCTTTGTTTTGGTTTGTTTTTTTTCCCCATGTACCCAGAGGGATAAACAACAGCTTCATATCAAGAACTCTAAAAATAAAACAATAATATTCAGGGTCATCAAATCTTTTCTCTCTAGGCTTTGTCTTGGGATAAAGACCAACGTTCAAAGTACAATCTACAATGGATAACTAAAAATGCCAGAAAGAGACTTACTTCTCTTACTTTCAGACTTAAAAAGTGCTGTAAGTACATTAAGTCTGGCCTCGGAGGATGCTTTTCCTACAAGAATATGAGTGAGGGGTGGCAGAGACATGAGAGCAAGATGAAGGGATGTAAATTGGTAGTATTTACTACAGTGCAATGGGCACAAATAAGCACTCAGATATCCATGGGGGTTTCAGAATATCTCCTAACTTTGGTCAGATAAGATAAGGCTTATTGTCTCTTTCCTGGACACAATACCAGAATAAACTGCAATTATAGTAATGACCTTGTCAGTATTGAAAAAGCGGAGACTTTTTCTCAACGACTTCTTATGCTGAGGGCTAGAGAGCTCTACAGGAACAATTAGTGACAACCTCTTCATTTTCCAGATAAAGAAATGGAGGCAGAAGTCCAGGCCCACAATTCCAAGCCCTCTCTACTTCAATACGCTCCCTCACTGCCTTGGGTTTCCAGCACACTAGCTTTCACTTGTGAGTAAGAAGGAACACGGTCCATTTGATTGTGGGGCCCACAACGTGAGGCCTAGACAGCCTTCCCATGTTTGTCTGGCTCACGTCCTGGCTTCCGGTTGCCTGCTAGATTTACGTTCTATCAGTAGACTAATAGCAAGGGAAACAGAAGTGGGGTTGGGTTTGTCTAAATTCACACCCCAAGAGAAGCCAGGAGTCGGGAGTCCCATCTCTTTGTCCACAGAGCTGTGTCTGCTCCTTCTGAGGAAACAGACATACAGTGTCTCCTGGAACTGACTGAAGTTCCAGAGGTGAGGCTGAAGCCCAGCTCCACCCATAAAGAGTGATAAAATATCATGGGGATCACAACCAAATGAAATAACTATAAAGTACGGTTGGAAGGGAGATGTGAGAAGCCAGCTGGAATAGAATGAAAGCAACAGATACAAACTAACCTGTCTTAGGGAAAGTCGGGCCTAATAAAGGGAGGGACCCTTGTGTACTGGTGAGGCATGCTGCTGGATCTGAACCACCTGTGTCAATGAAAGCTAACCAAGTACCGGGCAGCCTCATTCCCCTTCCAGAACACAGCACTGAACCTCTCCTGCCAATAAATGCTGGTCCAGTGTTGGATCAGAACACTGACATGACTGTTAGCAACAGCTTATCCTACTGGGTTTCCTAGACTTCGCATGATGGACCTGTTTTGTCTCCCAACATAGTTCACTCTTTCTTCAGGGCTTTTATATATTTGAGGACACTGATTGGAAGCTACCTAGGAAGTCAGATTTCTTTCAAACATGAAGATTTTCCCATGACCAAATATCTTGTCATAGTCTACTTGTACAAGAGCATGTGTTAAGCATGAAGAAGACAGGAATTGCTACCTTCTTCTTCCTCCACGTCGCTGAGGGATTTCTCCTCAACAAATCCCGAGCTGGCAGAGCTCTGGCTACTAGTGATGCTGTCCAAGCGGCGTTTCAGATCCACAGAGATTTCTCCAACATAGTCTTTCCCTTGCCGGAATCGTGCCCCTTTGCTCTAAAAAGAAGCAAATGAGGAAACTCAGTGAATATAAAATTGGTCTCTAAATATAGTAAACTTTAGAAACGTTGAAATTATTAAAAGCAGACAAAAAAGACAACTGTAAGATTCTTCAGTCTCTGAGATAAAATTTGAGGCAAGTTTTAGAAGGGTCCTTCCACAAAGCTTAAAGTGGTAAGTGCTTCATTGCGGGTGCACGCAGACACACTGCCCATTCATGTCCCCTTTGCAGAGGGACACACATTCCATCCAGCCAAATGTGGCTGGGGAGACAGACTAGTCCAAAACTGTTCTTCCCACTGTCCTTCCCTTTCTTAATCAAGTCTTCCAGTCTGTCACCACCATAACCAGTCAGGAGGTTAAAGTCTTAAACATAAGAGAGGAGAAGCATAAGTTCCCCAGAAGGTAAACGAGGAAGTCAAAAGACCGAGGAAATATGCAAAGATTCTCCTTATGCATTTTCAATTAAAAAACAATTGTATACCACTCTGAGTCTTCCTTCGCTTCACAGTATGACCAAAGTACAGTTAGAAATGACATACCTTATAGGTAATAAATTCATTTCTCTTGCCCCGTAAGTAAGTTGATAGGTTTCCAAACTTGCAGAATTCCACAATCACCATGAGAGGCCCTGCAGATAAGTATGTCAAGAAAGGAAAATGTGCTTTCATTAACATTTCTCATTCAGTGCTTGGTATATTGATAAGCTCAAAAATGCCCTAAAACAAGGCTACATATAACCTTTCATTGGAACAGGATTATAGAAATCAGTCGATCGCTGTCCCTTTATATTAAAAATTTACTTTTTTCCAAAGGACAATCCTACAAGAAAACCAAAATATTCGCAATGGGCTGAGAAGACTCCTCTTGAAGTCTTTTGCTTTCAGAGTTCAGGGGATATTTATTTTCCCCATCTAACACTTATTACACAAGTAGGAAACTGTATCACAGTGATATTCTTTAATTCAGAGGAAGCTTTACAATCATTTGATTATAGCTCATTAAATTACCATCAAGGAATCTGCAAAGTATCTAAGGTAATGAGACCAAGGCTGTCAATGCTGCCTTGTTGCCCTCAAACACTGCAGAGGGATGTGTCAAAATCAGGCAGGCAAAGCCAGCCAGAGTCACTCACCTCCCGGCTTGGTGCAAGCACCTAGAAGGTTGACAACATTCAGGTGGTGGCCAATGTGGATGAGGATCTTGAGTTCAGACATGAGGGCTCGGTGCTCACTGTGCGTGGCTCCTTCTACACATTCAAGAAAAAGATGAAGACTCTAAGTGTGACCATTGCCTTAGGATGACAGGCACACTCAACCATGTGTCTTATCCAGGGTAACACGACTCTATCTAACAAAGCAATTGCATTTTCTGAAAAATCCAGTGCAAATTCTATTTTCTTAATCAAAATCAAAGCTTTACTTTCAGCAAACTCTGATTGCTTCATATTTAAAGGAATCCACTGTGAAGTCTTCCATAAAGTAGGTAATATAGCTACAGTGGAATCACATCCGGACACGCTTCTTAAAAACTGCAATTTTCTGTTTCAGGTTTATTAACCTTCTTACGGCCTGATCATTTCAGTGCCTTCTCACAGGGAAGCAATGCCATACAGTAAATATCCTCAGATCTGGGGGCCAGTAAGATAGCTCAGTGAGTAAAGGTGCTTGCCACCAAGCCTTAAAACTTTGATCCCTGGGACCTACACAGTAGAAGGAGAGAACAAACTCCAACAAGTTGTCCTCTAAACTCCATGCCTACACTGTGGTACATGTACACACAAATCAATCAGTCAATCAATCAATCAACAAATGCAAGAAATATCCTTAGGTCTACACTGATATTCCAACTTACCTGAACCAAGCAAATAACTTAATAAGGCTCGCCAGGCAAGGCTGCTGGCACATGAGCCTGACAGAGCCCAAGGCACTTCAAAATTACACACGTACACCTTAATCACTAGAGACGAATGTATTGGGAGGCAGAGAACTTGGAAATGCACAGGACCCGCTGGTGAAGGGTCAGTAGTATCATCTTCCTCAAGACAGACACAGTTGGACCAGACGCTCCACATGCACCACCTTCCCTTGTCAAAATGGCCAGGCCAGAGCTCCATTACTACTGACAAATTTTGATTTTTAAAAGAATACTCATATTTCCTTAGCATAATCACCCTTATTTTTCAAAGTGTCTTTTATATGTGAAGTTCTTTTGCATATTCCAATTCTGGAACATGCTGGTTTTGTACTCTGTGACTTTTACTGATAGCAAATCCCTTTATATGTTTCTAGAGGGCCTGTGATCATCTTACACCATAATACAAGGAGGAACAGTGTTAGTATAACCATGTACTTTCCCTATTCTAGCCAGGACCACTAAGTACAATTGTTCCCAGACAAGGAGAAATCCATCCCCAGCTCTGCACCCTGGGCCATGTACCTTTGCATGAGGCTCCAAAGGAGGAAGCTGCTTCTAGACATCATATAGACTAGCTGCTTATTGGCCCACTTAAGCACAGAGCCACTGCCTACAGCGCAAGCCTTACATCATGGTTAAGGATGGACAAAACAGAGAAAGACATATCACCACATCATTTTGCTTTTACCTTTCAACATTTTGACAGCTACTGTTTTGCAAGTTGCTGTCTTGTCAATTCCAAAAGCATCCGCCTCAATCACTTGGCCAAAGGCACCACGGCCAAGAGGTTTACCTAGAACCAACAATAATGGCAATTACAAAGGCTAATAGACTGATTATCACACCACCAAAAGGATACGCAAAGGTTACAATTGATTACGATAACTATACAGCCCATGTAGCATCATGGTCCAGTTAACTCTCCTGTACTGGATTTCCTTTCAATCTCCAAATGTTCTATTTGAACAGATGTAAAGGGACCTTATTTCTAAAAAGCTAAATAGATGATAATGCAAAGTCAAGAGCAAGAATTAATATTTCTGATCCAGAATATAACAACTGAGTAGACTCTATTTGTCTTAAAGGAGGACACAATGCCCTGGCGAAATTGATTTCAAATTAATATTAGTTGACAATTCACCTAGTTTTAGTCGGTCTCTGGGGAACTCCCATTTGCTGGCATCATAAGGCAGGCGTTCACAGCGTTCATCCAAGGGCAGTTCATCTGGATCCATGACAATGGACAAGTAGCCAGTCTTCAGTTCCCCTCCATTGGCCTGGAAAGCATCAATCCTTCCAGTCACACACACCCTGTTGTTTGGCTGTTGTTTTGTGTACTTATTATTGTTTAACAAGAGCCTCATTCCTAATATCTCATTTTCCAATAAAACTCTCAGAGCTTGAGAGTAGTCCTATTATAATCCTGCTTTTGGTGTTTCCCTAGTTCCCAAAATGAGTGCAGAATTAAGTTTTAAAATCTTAATTGCTGTGGACAGTCCAAGCCCTTTCTCCTCTAGTAGTGTCTAACAATTAATGCCCATGGTCCAGCCAAAGAAAATGGGCAAGAATGCTATTGTATTGAAGTAAAAATGTGCCCATTGAGCCAAGAACAATGGGAAGAAACAGCTGAAAGAGCCCCAGTCAGCTTTCATCAATCATGAAGACCAGCATGCAAGGGACAGAAGGGAAATTATTTTGTTACCCGCTTAACGGTCCGTAGAACGATGACAAGAAGCAGCCAGAAGAACATGGCAATCACCGCAGTGCCGACTAAAATGATGACTTCCAAGTTGGTCTTTTCCTGGGCACCTGGAAGACACAAGTGAGTGATCAACAGCTGGCAACTCACAGCCTTTGGTAGAAGGCGACAGAGTGTGACATGAAAGGCAAGACCTCAAGCTCACCCATTTTCAAGAATCCTAGAGACCAATAGCCACACACTCCTGAAGATAGACGGAGTTGACAGCATTCTTAAAGATAAACAAAAGCTTGCAAAACACTGCATATGAAAACTCCCAGTAATAAAACTCTCAAACAATTAAGGTTGGATGTATGAATGTCTTAAGAGATACAGATAGGATGTATTTGAAGAAAGCACACTTTTGATAGAGAAAAAACAAACAGATGATGTCCTACAGAGAAGAAAAATACTTGTATTTGGGGGGAATACAGTCTGGTTTTACTAACAGTCAATGCCTTGACTTGTGTGGCATTTCAAAAAGGATTCTTTAGGAAATCACATAAGGAAATAAAGTCATTTGGCCAGACAGCTATTTGTGACCACACAACTAATTATGCATGCATCTGCCTTAAAGATGCCATCCCTCTTAACTTCCTCAATAACCTTTTATTTTTTCAGAAGAAACAAGATCTTGTTTGAGGGGCTGGAGAGATAGATCAGTGGTTAAGAGCACTGACTATTTTTACAGAAGACCCAGGTTCGAATCCCAGCACCCACATTGTGGCTAACAACTATCCATAACTCCAGTTCCAGGGGATCCAATGCCCTCTTCTGTCCTCCATGGGCACTGCATGACACAGGTATACTTACACACATGCAGACATAACACTCATACACACAAATAAATAAATAAATAAATAAATAATAAATAAATAAATAAATGCTACTTGTTTGAGTACAGGTAATTGGTAACCCATTCAAGAATTAAACTAGGGCTATTCAACATGAGCTGAGCAATATTCCATCTTGTTCCTGTGTGGCAGGAGTCTGAGAGGAAAAGAAAGAACTGAAATAAAGGCATTGTGCAGGACACAGGAACAGGACTTCAACACTGCACATGAAAGGAAAGAGAAAAGGAAAAGCTAAAGGTGGAGGAGGAAAGCTGCGGATCTCCGCTCCAGAGGAGAGCACCAAGTGTAATTTCCTCATTACATGTAATTTCCTCATTATGTGCAGAAGAAGGCTTTCAATACCAAGTGATTATCACTGAGGTGATGAGGATGCAATTATCACTTGAGGTCTCCATCTCTCCACTCACACTGTGCAGTATAAGTCAAATCAGGCCTCAGGCTGGGAGAATGGTCCAGAAGGCAGAAGACAAGCAATTAATTGTTGACAAAATGGGAGTTATCAGTTGGGAGACAACCCTCAAGTGCATCTGGAAGTGGATTTTGTATCTCTGCTGTTTCCCAAGAAGTAATTCTCTATCTACATGTAGAGATTTAAAAGTCCATTCATACAGGAAACAGCAAAAGGGTCAAAGATTTAACTACCTGTATCAGTTTGTCTACAAACATCCTCACATTAACATTTGGGAGCTAAGCAGGAGTATTCAGTGTCTACATCTCCCTCTCTTGTTATTCTCTCCATATCAGCAATCTCCACAGCTCCCACGCCACTTAGGCTTGGTAGCCAGTTGCAGATGGCTGGCCGAGGGAGGCAGAGCACCCAAGAGAATCAGCGACCCTCCCTTGGATTTGCACTCAGACAGGAACCCCTTTGTAAATGATAAAACTAGTCCCTTGAAATGTTTATTTGTACCCATTGCTTATGAAACTGTAATAAGCCCACTGATTTGAAAGCATGTTAATATGTTTAGATGCAACACTTGACAGCACACGTTTGACAGATTAGAAACCAATATTTAGACTTTGAGACAAGTTAAGAAGAATTCATAGAGTCTGCCAGGCCTACCTCTGCCATCTCCCTCGACCTCCCCCTTGCAGACCATTCCCTCACTCACACAGTACAGTTGCATTGCTCTCTGAGTGGGTTTAAAAAAAGGGAGACAGGAATATTCTTCTTGAGGTGAGATATTCTGTCACAGATTACTTTTCTAGCTGAAAAATGCTATATTTTACATCACTCCTGGCTATGTGTGCACACGTACCCACAAACACACACGCAAACACACATACCCAGAGTTACTTCTGTATTTCAATAAGACCCCTAGGTTTCCTATTTCACAAAAGCAATGGTCTATTGTTGATGAGTGAATTTTAATTGTCTCCGCTTCAATGAAAATTCTGAGACCCCCCTTACTAACCATATAGCAAGATTCAAGAGCAATTTTCATTTTATTTTTCAAAAAAAACATGAAAGTATCATTTCAGAATCAGACAGGAGGATATTTATCCCACCTGGATGAATATTCCCCACAGTGAGCACTACATGGACAGGCGCTGGGATGCTGCCTGAAGTAAAGCATTCTTTGTGCTTTTTGTTTGAGTCTGTACCTCCTGAAGACAATCCATGAAGAATTAATTATGAAGATAGAAGATTCCCTCATGAAAACATCCAAAATGATCAAGCTCTGAAACTTTCTGAACCACCCCACGCCTCATCACGTGTGATAGTCAAAGGCAGGTAAACTGAAAATACTGTACACAATTACCTTCAGATAACGCTGTAAGGTTTACATGAAACATAAGCGAGTTTTATTCTTAGATTTAAGTTCTATCCCCAAAATATCTATTACTCCCAAATCTGAACTACATCTGTTCCCAAACACTTTACATAACAGACACTCAACTACCACAAAGGACAAGAAACATCCGCTTGCTGTCACCCAGTGTATGGAGGATATGTAAGGCACAAGCCAATCTTGAGAAACCACCTGGCAGCTTTATAACTTCACACTGACCTTCTATTATGAAAAATGTCTCCGCTCTTGCACAGCCAAGAACATTGCAGGCCTGGCAGGTGTAAAGGCCTTCATCCTCCTTCCTCACCCTGCGGATAGTTAGGTTCCGGTTCCCATCTTTCAATACAATGCCTTTAAAGAGGAGGGAAATGAATGTTTTATTTCTGATGATGTTTCTTCCAGGAATTTTTTTTAGAATATAATTACTGCCCTTCATCTTGGGTTATTATCTAACTCTAAAGACTTCATAGGACTGACCACTGACTGATCTCCCATGAAGTCTCCATGAGAAGTGAACAAGGATTCAAATACACTGCTTTTGACTCTACGAAATGAGCCAGATCCTTACCTAAATACTGCCTGTGTATGTGTATGGGGAGAGAGGTGCATGTGCACTTGTGTGCACATGTGTATGGAGGCCCAAAGGTCAATGCTGGGTGCCTTCCTCAATTGCTCTCCACTTTCTGAGACACAGTCTCTCCCTGAACCTGGAACTCACTGATTAAGCTAATTGGCTGACCAACGATCTCCAGGAATTTGCCTGTCTCCTGTGCCCCTCTGCCCTACTGCCCCCTAGCACTAGGATTACAGACGATTGCTGAGTCTGGACTTTTCCATAAGTGCTGGGAATTCAAACACATGCGCCCATGATTGTGTGGCAAGCACTTTACTGACTGAGCCATCTCCCGAGCCCCCTGAATAACTAACTGTTCTCTGTCTACTTTCAAACAAGTCAAGAAATGATATGAGTCTTACATAGCATCTTTGGAAAAACTCTACAACCAAAGGAAGAGACAAGTTCCAATCACCTGAGTCTTCCACAAGTGTCTCATTGTCTTTAAACCATGTAATCTGTGGAGTGGGGTTCCCGGACACTGGGCAAGCAACTTCAATGGTTTCACCAATACTTGTGGTCTGATTCTCCAAGTTTCCTGTGATCATGGGTGCCATGCGCTCTACACACATAAAAAGAAAACCACAGGGCCCACAGTTATTAGTACTGAAATGGCCTTAGTATCATATAACTGTTATGCAGTCTAAACCTAATAAACAGCAACCTGTTGATAGAGAAGCAACACAGAATTGACAACAGCATTACTACCCAAAAACTAACATCGAATAAAATAAGAAAAGATATAGTTCAGAACATCCACATTAGTGATTCCCTACCTGAAAATCACAAAATAGACTCAGAAATTTGGAAGGATTATATTAGGTTATGGTTTTCCCTCCAATTATAAAGGTTTTCCCTGAGTGGAAGCTCCCATCTTGTAAAGTTCTAGCTACTAAGAATAGAATTCTGTTTTAGAAAGGGCAAAACTTCAGCACAATTCTATAGTGCCTTGTATTTATTTGGTAACTGTTACAAAACTCATATTATTTCTAAGACCTATTATCAGTCATACATGAGAAGGGCTAGAACTATTAGCCTTATTTTTTTAGATGAAATAGTTGCAGCACAGGGGCATAAACATCTTATCCAGGTCCCTATAACTAAGTAAATGGTGAACTAATAATAGAATCTGGTGAGACTGAAAGTCCAGCGCTGTTTCCACCAAAATGCAAACAAACCAAACAATACCCTAAGGAAAGTCAAGGAGTTCAAGAATATGTACCCATGGATATTTGTTTAGAAGCAGAACAAAATGTTACACTTAACCTCCTGCAAGTTACCTAAGTGCTCTGGAAATAAGTTCAAACCAAATGAGCATCGAAAGGAATTCCTTGAAGGAATTCATTTCAACACTTAAAAGAATGAGATTATCTCCCTGGTCCACCACATTGGAGTTTAAATAAATTACTCTGGGCTCTAGCCTATTTCTAAGAATTGATTTCAGAAAACAACTTAGGTATCCTTAGAGAAGCAAACACACTAATGGTGAGCATTCACTACCTGGTCATGGCTAAGCCAGGAGCCTCCTTTACATCTCTTTCTAACCTCCTCCAAATCTGGACCAGCTACCAATATTAACATAATATAATTGATTATAGATGTGGTGTGATTTCAAGGGTCTTGGGAAGGACTTGACTCAAAATGTCTTTACTTCTGTCCCTGAGTCTTTAAAACAGCAAATCTTATGCTAGTGTCTATTTGAAGGGATTGCCTAAAATAAGGCAAAGACCACAACAAGAGGATGTTTATCTAAAATTCTGACGTAGTTAACCTTACCTGGAGGTTTCCCTTCCTAACATCATAAGCATCCTAAAAGAATACTAAGAAAATGAAAGGCAATGGTACCAAGACAAATTCCCTCAAATTCATCTGATCTCTAGAAGGACAGAGTAGGGGTTGCCTAGGTACGAGGTCAGACAAGACATAGAGAGCCTCCTCACAGGGAATGTGCTAAGATTTCTTATCCCAAACTCTCTGAACTGCTTCTACATGGACCACATGTGATACCCCAGAAGTACAGGCAGAGTGCAGCATCTCTCCCACAGACTCTTCTAGATCTGAAACTAAGTCTAGGTCACCATCACACTGCTCATGCAGCAGAATAGTACACTGAACACCTAGTATAAAACACTGTGCTCTACAGCTAGGGTTTCAGCAGGAAGCAGAGATCAATCCCTGTCCTCACAGACTGCAGACTTCACTATGCTACGACTGCCCAGGGATTGCCTCTGTTCTCTTCCTGTCCTTCTATACGTCAGCACTGTAAACTTAGGGCATTCTCTTTGCTCTTAGTAGGTAGTCCAGAAATGTGCTTATATTACTAGCTGGGTACCCAAGGATACAGCAACAAGTTCCCTGGTTCAAGCTAATCCCTTGTAGTCACTGGTGGTGACCTCATCACGAAGGTCAGAAAGAGCCATGCTGTCTTCTAATTTTAATGCATCACCTCACTGCTATCAGCTTTGCTCCGCCCCCATCACTTTCATCGAGTAATTATACTAGCCTGCTACACAAGCTCCCAGAGGACAGTGCTATTCACACAGCACCTATACTGAACACACTATGTTTAAGGCATTTCAACTCCATAATCCGTAGATGCCTCCCTACCTAGGATGGTGAGCTGTCTGACAACGCAATGCCTTTTCTTGGTCTTCCTGTCTTGAGCAGAGCAGATGTAGTCTCCTTGGTCCTGCAGGGATACATTCTGAAACATCATGATCAAAATGTCGTTTGTGCTATTAGCGAACATGGTGGCATTCTGTTTCCAAAGAGCATTCAGATTCTTGCAGACTGGTGTGAGAGATTCGCCCATGGGGACCGATGTTGCCTGTGAGCCAAGTTTGTACCACATGAGGTTCTCAAATGTAGTTCTGTCTGCAGTGCACCACAGAGATACATTCTCCTGCTCGGTTGGCTGGGCAGAGGGTTGCAAGGTAATCTCAGGACCCTCTGAAATGTAAAGTCATAGTTAGAAGATGATGATTTAATTGGTACAGGACACTTGTTTTTGTTTTTGTTGCTTCTGACTGCTATGGAGATCTAAGAGTTCTTACAGCCCCTATTACTACAAGGACAGAGCCAGGATGATTATTTTCTCAAAACATATTATTTGGAAATGCGAATTATTTTTAATTATCGCATTTTCACTCCGAGTTCTGAATATAGTTTTGGGATGAAAATAAAAAATCCAAAGCAGGACATTTACTTAATCACCACACAGAACTTTAAACAATGGTTCCTCATTAAAGCATGATATTAACTGTTATTAAAACTATATTTATTACAACTAATTAGTTCAGACTAAAATATTTTAGCCAATACAGTCAGCACGAGTTTTTCCATAAAACTTGATGCATGGGCAAAATCAAGAGCATTGGAAGGTCAAGGATATTGTTTCCATGTCATTCCAATGACTCCAAGAAGCCTCAGCCTTACAGCTGTCTAATAACATGCCCACAGGTACTTAACCCCAGTAAATCATGAGTCATGCTAGACTCTGACGAACAAGACAGGTGACACACACAACATAGAGCTTGTGGTTTAAAGTATGGGTAAAATCAGTCTCTGTCCAGTGATGGCACATGAACTGACTTCACATAGGCCCAGGAGCTGCCTGAGGAGCTTTAATTCAAGCACAAACGCATTGATTATCAATCCAAGCTCTGTCACTACTCACACAAATGCCAGGGACAATAGAAAACTTCACGACTTAACACCTACTCTCTAGGGACCCCACCCTCCCTTCAGAGAGGGGTACTTACTGGTCACATGGAAGGAGATCACTCTCTCTCCTCGCCCAGCTTTGTTGATGGCTTCACATTTGTACAAAGCTGACACACTGGCAGATTGGATGACCAGAGTACTCACAGTCTGTGAACAAACAAATCCCAGCCATGAACAATGTGGGCTAAGTATGTTCAAGCACACTGAAACTAAAATCTGGCAGTCCCCACAACTGCTATGACCTGCTTACTTAATTCACATGACACAGTGACCACCTTCACCCTTAAGTAGTCATCACTAAGCAGTTATACACAGGATACCAGAAGCGCTTTGGAAATCTTTAAAGATTTAAATAGAACATTATAGGCATTTTTCATTTTCATACTTATAGAATCAGAAGCACCTTTCAATAGATGGATATATGGAATGGCGCACGTTTCATTTCTCTTCAGTAAACTATTGGTAAGTTAATGGTACTGCCAAATGCCAGCGGTATCTTCAAACTGACTAAATATGCTAGTATTTTACTATCCAGTCTATTTGATTTTCTTCTATTTGTTTGTTTGTTTATTTATTATTTATTTATTGAGACAGTGTCTCCCTGCAGCCCCAGCTAGCCTGCAACTCTCTATGCAGACCAGGCTGGTCTCCATCTCACAGAGACCCACCTGCCTCTGTTTTCCAAGTGCTGGGATTAAAGGTGTACTCCACCACACCCAGCCTTCTTTTTATTATTTAGCAGGCACTGATTGAACAAAATTGTGAGTTTCACTATGACATTTTCATATGTGTATATAATGTTTGTGAATTATAATTGCCCCCAATTACCCTATCTTTCCCCATCCTGACTCCACATGGTCCCCTCCCACTTCCTAAGTTGTCCCCCTTTACTTTTATGCTGTTTTTTTTCATCTAGATTCTGCATATGAGAGAAAAACATGGTATTTGTCTAAGTCTGACTTATTTTCCTTAGCAGGGTGATCTCCAGTTCCACCACCCATGCAAATGGCATGTTTGTCCTTCTGTGTGGCTGAATAATATTAATGTGTGTGCATACGTGTATGTCTGTGTATCTCACTTTCTCTTTATCCACCTGGGCTGACTGATTTCGCTGCTTGTGTGGTGTGAATGGTGCTACACAGACTATCTGATTATTAATCTCCAATGTACCATTAAATATTGTTTGTCACTTTCTGCTAAGGAGTGAGAAATAGAGAAATTTTCAAACTAAAGAGCTTCAAACTCACTTTGTTTTTTCCTTCAATTAGGGCATATTGGTTTTTGGTGACTTCGATCTTATTTCCCCCCTGGAAATCTCCCACATTTCTCCATTCTTTACAAGTATATGGATTTGTTTGGCTACAAGAGAAAGAAAACATATTATGTCATGGCTTGACTTCTCTTTCATTCAAATCAGTAGTAAGGGAAAGGGTCAGACTTTGGTTATCATGTTCTTAGAAATACATTTTGATGCAGACTATCACTTTACAAGACCTGGCGCCAATTAAAAATAGATGCCAGCAACAGGGGAAAGGTCCAAGGTAGTTCACTGAGGATACAGGAGGGAAGCAGCTATTCTGGGAACAAGCCTCCATTCATAAATTGAATCGACAAGACAATTCAAGTTAATTTAGTTCAAAGGAAGGTAAGGAAACTTGGAAGCCATAGGGCTTCTTAAAGTCATCTCTCTGGGACTGTGCCTTTTCAATAGGAAATGGCCAGCAGCTGAGGAAGAAACTAGTGTTTGCTACTTCAAAAACAACAACAGGAAGTGGATTGCTTGGGGTGATGGGTTGGAGGTGCTGGTGGTTGTTTTCCCTAAGGATGTCTGCACTTGTGTTGGAACTTGATAAGCAGAGTATGAGACTCTTGAGGCCTGTGCTAGGTTTATCATTGCCTTCCATCCACCAGCACTTCCTCTGAGAGATGGACCTTCCCACAGATAAGGAGGAGCACTGTGGTAGTCTCCAGCTCACAGATAGAAGACCCCAAAATTGGCAATTATCAAACTAAGCAAACAGCAATCATTTGGAGAAGTGTGCACCAGAGCTAACTATGAAGAGAGCGCTGGCTAGTCGTGCAATGGGATGCCCCAAGCAAATGCATCTGTTAAAACTGAAAACACAGTGGAAGACGAAAGGAGATTCCAAGCACCACTTGAGGGATAACCTTCAAAGGGGTAGTCTTGTAGGTTTAGAATGGAGTCATGGCATAGCTGGGCATGAAGGAATGCAAAATGGCAGGCCAAACAGGCCACATGACCCTGCTCACCTGGGTTGGTAGGAGCACTCTTCCTCCAACTGCCAGTACCAGTGGATGTGATGCAGGGGAGGATTGGCATAGACTGTGCATGTCAACGTCTGCATGGTACCATACTGGTAGGAATCCATGGGAGAGATCAGGGCTTTCTCGCCTATCTGGGGCGGGACTGAAGACAGGAAAGACAACTTGTGAATTATCAATCAGTTTCGAGAAATTAAAGTTAAGGATTTCATCGACCACAGCTGCCTTTTGTAAGCACATGATTTTTTCTTGCTTTTCCAAAGAACACATAGATTTGGAGACAGGAGACTTGAGTTCTGGTAGTACTCATAATAATAAAAACTGATAAGCTAAGTGACTTAAGGCATGAGGTCCCATGCTTTGGTCTCTCATTTATATTAAAGAGGTTATTCTTCCTGTCCCCCAGCTTAGCAAGGATGGCATGAGGCTACAGAAAGAAAATAGTTGGAATGGTAAATTTATTACACATCAGACAGTGCCCAAGTTCTTTACATTGATTCACTCAGTCCTTACAAACACTACTATGGCCCCTCATTTACACATGAGAAAAAAAAAAAAAACATGAACAAGTTAAAAGACTTGCCCAAGGTCACTAGTTAATATGTGGCAAAATTCAGGAAAAAGGTAGACATTCTGACTTCCAAACAGCATATTATAGAGGAAAAGGTCAATCCTTACAGAATGCATGCTATGTTCTCCCTCTCTTTCCCTCTTTCCTCCTCCCTTCTGTCCTTATTTTATTCCTCCCTCTCTTCTACCCATTTTTTCTTTTTGTTTTAGTTCCAAAATCATTAGTATAAATTATTACCTTATCACTATCAACCAAAAGTCCTCTGAGATGAGAGAGAGGGGTGGGGGGCTTATGGCTACAGGGATGCATTCCCTAAAGATTTATTTCCTTTATACTTTTCAGACTTGACTTCATGTTTGTGCTTATTTCATACAGCAAGGTAAATGCTAGGGTGAACTGAGTGCTTGGTGACTTCATGAAATGGTACAGTGGGGTTATTCACTGCCTGCCTCTGTCTTTGCTGCCTGATTGTTTTCTTCTCGTTCTAATTATCAGCTTGTGTCTTTCTCCTCCCCCTTGAATCCCTTTTGCTCATGCTGCTTCTAAGCAACCTTCCCAGAATCTGTTATCTTTAAAATACTCCCTGAAGAAAAAGATGAAGCCATGCCCAGCAGACACACAGAGGAGGATCAAGATGCGTAGGGGCCACATTAACGTAGCGAGACAGTATCTTGAGGTTTTAATGTGTGGTGTCAGTAGGAAGCACAAAGAATTACAACAGAGAAGCATTTCTCAAACTGTGTTTGAAGCAAAATATTAATGGATTTACTCAAGGAGGAAAAGTGCGCTGGTCAAATAAGCTTGTTAAACCCTCAACATTCTGTCTCTCCCCTCTGGAAAAAGCAATGTTCATTTGCATAGTAAAGGGCCTGAGAAGTCCTGTAAGAAAATTTTATTTATTTATTTATTTGTTTGTTTGTTTGTCTTTTTGAGACAGGGTCTCCCTGTTGCCCCAGCTGGCCTGGAACTATGTAGACCAGGCTGGCATTGAACTCACAGAGATCCACCTGCCTCTGCCTCCCAACTGCTGGGATCAAAGGTGTGTGCCACCAAAACCGGCTGATAGAAACTTTTAAGTCACCTGACCATGGCACCCATCTCCTGTAACCCCATATACTTATTTATATCTTTCACTTTGAGGAAGTAAAGTTCAAATTATCCTTCAGCCAAAAGCTTACTGGCTTTCCTGGACAGACCCAGAGTCAGACCTTCGATAACAAGTAAACCAACAATATCAGTTTCTAAAGGTCTTCTAAGCAGAGTTATGTCTACACATCTGGGATACAGCAACTACAGCATCAGACTAAAGCTTTACACAAAACACAAAGAAAATCTCCCACATCTGCACACAGTGTGCAATTCCATGGGCAGAAGCAAAGTAAACGTATCCTAGAGCAACGCCATAGGCATTTGGCTAGGAGATACCATCTACTTTCCTCCTACACGTGACCAGCAAACAGCTCATTTACATGATTTTTTAACAAAGCATGTCTGGCCATGTTCTGGTGCACACCATTCCATATCACAATTTGAATCCATCTCCCTGGGTCATTTTTCACTTTTATGCCCAGTTATGATAAGGGGGAGACAGCAGGGGGCAAAGGAAAGATGGAGATTTAGGAAGATGCAATCACACTCTTCATAGGAAGTCTTGGAAAGAGGGGAAAACTGAATGGACTCACCATTCACAATCAAAGAGACCATGTGGCTCTGCTTCTCCTTTGAAATGGGATTGGTAAGGATGATGGTGTAATTTCCAGTGTCTCGTTCACTCACTTCCATGATTGTGAGTGCAGACCCCACTGTCATTGTGTAATTGGACTCAATGGGTCTTCCATTTTTGTACCTTGGAAAGACAGTATCAGTTAGAGCAATCGAAGAATTTGCTTTCATGCAAAGCAATGTTTTGCATGCATTTGTTTCTAAGAGTTACCATTTGATTTCAGGGGCTGGGTAGCCAAGGAACTTCACAGGAATTTGGACACTGCTACCCACTGTGGCTTCCACCAAAGATTCCATACCACTACCGAAAGCAACAAAAGGTTGTGCTAGAAGGAAATGAAAGCAGTGGTTCTCATAAATGTCAAGTTACTGTAAATTGTCTTTTAGTTAACTTTTTCAATCAAGTGAAAAGCAGGTGTTGGGGGTACGTGAGTCTACTTCCATTCTGAGCGTCCCCACAGAATGTCTATGGTGGCCACATGCCATCTTTCCTTCAGCTTTGCCAGCACTGCTCTCTTCACAAGTGCATTCTCAAGAGCCTTAAGCATTTGCTCCTCCACATAGCCTTCAATAATCTCCCAGTGACCTCCTCTTCTTCCACTGACACCCTCTACCCAACTCCATGTGTTAAATGCCCCAAAACTCACTGCTCAGACCCCTTCTTTATCTGTACCCTCCTCTAATTAGCCTCAGGTTTAAAGCACCAGTCACACACATAAACTTTTAGTTCCTGCCCTCACTTCTCTGGGTTCCAGATTTGTGCAATTAAACATCTCCATCTGGATGTTTAATGGGCATCTCCAAATAAAAATACCTGACACTGTTCCCCAAATCCTACCTCTCCCCAACCCCACCTCAGGTAGCGACACCATCCTCAGTTCAGCTGCTTGTGCTAAGGCTGAAGTCATCTCTTTTTCTCAGTCAATAAATCAACCAGCAGGTCCTGCTGACTGCACAAGATATCCAGACTGTCATCTCTTCTTACTACAGTGTAACACCTTGACTGCCCTGGTCCAAGTCTTCCACTATCTCTCACCTAGATTCTACCAATCAGCCTCTTAATGGATCTCCCTTATTCTGCCTAGTAGTAGAGCACTTTCCTAGCATGTGAAAGGTTCTGGCATAATAAAATAAACCACTCCACATAAGCTACAAAGAAATCCTATGAAAGTTTAAGTCAGAGCTCTGATGAACATAAGTTATTTAAACTGAGACAATTATGTGGATGAAGAAGCATAACTGAAAAATTAAGGTGATTTGCCCAAAACTACACAAAAAGCATTTGAATTTGGGTTGAGAGGTCATGCTTATTCAAGTAAGCCTCTTGGCCTTTCTTACAATAAACTGAAATTATTTTTAAAAACTTAGGTAGCGATATCTTATCTTCTAAAAAATATCAGCCTTAGATACTTGTAGTAATGACTACAGTCTCAGCAACAGCTACAGCAAGTAATGTCTAGTAAGCAATTACTATATTAACTCATGCCATTTTAAAATTGAGACTTCTTAACCCAAGTCCCTGACTCCAAAACTATGTTCTTGATCTCTAGGTCCCTAGCAAAAGCTCAAGATTATCTTATGAATGAACAAGGTGACCTAAATTGATTTAAGTCATCTCACTCTCTCAGGCCCAGAATACTCCCAAGAACAAGGATGCTTACTGTGGACTCGGACAAACGTGCTGTTCTTCTTGGTCATCCGCCCACTGGACACTACACAGGTGTACCACCCTTGGTCATTCCGGGTCACACTATCTATTGTCAAGGTGCTCAAAAATTTCTTCATTGCAGTCCCAGGCAAGAGCTTTGGTTCTCGGCTTGCAATTTTCTTATGCTGATGCCAAGAAAAGAGTTGAGTAAACTTTCAACAAAACATCATTCTAGAGATCCACAAAATCAAGCCTTGTCCTTTGGTGAACAATATTTAATAATAATAGAAGAGACTTTATTTATTTATTTTTATGTATGTGTTTTGCCTGCCTGTGTCTAAGTGTACCCATGTCGTACAATGCCCATGAGTCAGAAGATCCCCTGACAAGTTACATGTTGGCTGCCATGTACATACTGGCAACCAAACCCAGGTCCTCTGCAAGAGCAGCTAGTACTTTTAACCGCTGAGCCATCTCTCCAGCCCCATAAAAGAGACTTTAAAGATCATGTAGACAGCAAGTGTATTTAGATTCAGGAAAAAAAAAATGGAAGTTGAAATACAAGGATGTGAAGTAGATTTTGATACCTTCTTTACCCATGAGAACGAAATGCATACAAACTGCAGAAACGCAAGGAAACGTGACCACTGTTTAAAGAGAAATGTAGGTCAAGCCACCTCTTAAAGGGATATTCCCTTAAAGGGAAAACAGATCAAGGGCTCTAGAGAACAGAGAAGTAGCACAATGTGGAAAGATTAATTACACAGTGAAGATCAATATTCACAGCCCAATTGCAGCAGAGGAGATTCCTAGCACTGCATCTTTTCGTGTTTGCTCTGTGTGTGTGTGTGTGTGTGTGTGTGTGTGTGTGTGTGTGTGTGTGTGTTTTAAAGCCTTTATATTTTATCTGGTCAGAGAGGACCCTATCTCTTAAGCAAACTTCACTGGGGCTTATTATCAAAGTATTCAGAGATCTGGCTTTGAATTGTTAATGTTACCTTCAAAGAAGGGCATTCCCAGTTGAAATCAAGGCCCACATTGAGCTCAGTTCTTGCTGTACAATTTAAGACAAGCTTCTCTCCAGCAGATAGCTCGATTCCATGAGGGGGGCTCAGAACCACATCATAAATCTTATATCCTGGAGCAAGTAATGATAAAAACAGAAAGTAAGAGGAAAAAGAAATCCAGGACTTGGCACACATTTTTTTAAGTGATGCAAAGTATGTTACATCATTTTTCCCTGGGGGCCTCACCAATTCTTGGTAGTTTTCAGGAAAATGGTTTATAAAGATTTCTAAATCTTCAGCATTCTCAAAGCTGTTCTAACTTGATGAATAGAGAAACAAAAGTCTAGGCCAGGGGGACCCACTTGAGTAAATTGCTGAATTTTCCACTAAATACATACAATTAAAGACTTGGTGCCAAGAAATGCTCTGAAAATTGAATTTTTCATAAAATTAACTTCTGTAATAACACTTTTTCATTCTTGGGCTTGTCAAGAAAGGAGAAAACCTCAACTGTATACTGGTTTATTTGGTAGAGAAGAGTATACGTAATGAATTGACCAGGATCATACACTGGGGTTAATATATTTTTCAATATCTCTTCTCCTTCACCCTGCACCTGGGTGCAGGACCATCATATAGAAAGCCACTCTTTATTGTCTGGTATTCATGATATGGAAAGGAAATATCTGCTTACCTAAAACTACAACTATGTACATAATAGATTGATAGGTTTCATCATTAATCTTTGCTTCACAGAAGACCATTCCAGCATAGCTGATCATGTAACCAGGGATACTAAAGCCTTTCTCGCTGTCCCAAGAAATTCTGTTTCCATCAGGAACAAATCTCTTTTCTGGATACCTCTGTGTAGTAAAACAGAAACAATCAATATTGACTCCAGTGCTGTCCAAACGCGATAATAACTGAAGAATCAGTGTTACTTTCTGGAACATTAAGTTGGTTTTATTCCTTGTCATGCTGATCCTCCCCAGGGGATCTTTGCAATTCACTGTTGACATAGTACTGGCAACAAGATACTCAGCTCCATATAAACTTAAAATGGTGGAAACTTAAGCGATGATTGGAAAAGATGCAACTTACTGCACAAAGTGACACGTTGAGGTTTGAAATCGACCCTCGGCATGGAATCACCAAAGTTTTGTTTTTGTTCTCAGTGATGTACACAATTCCATGTTGGTCACTAACAGAGGCGATGAATGGTGATCTATAATCTAAAAGAAAATTGAATTCTGTCATTGAGTTGCTACCAAAAAAGTTAGTGATCTTTTAGGTTCACGAACCTAACCACATCAGGGAATCACTGGCCGTGATGCCTTGCACATGCAAAGCAGGTAGATACCTGGCTCCAAAGATCTGCTCAGGGGTGTGTGTGTGCGTGTGTGTGTGTGTGTGTGTGTGTGTCCCATATTTTAATAGTTCCATATTTTAATATATTGTCATTTTTCAAAATAAAATACTTTAAAATTTAAATCTATACATTTAACCTATAAGTTTCATGATGTTACAAATTCATCTCTCAAGTTGAGCACAGTGGCATATACCTTTAATCCCAGTACTCTGAAGGTAGAGGCAGGCAGATCTCTGTGAGATCAAGGCCAGCCTGGTCTACATAGCTATGTTCCAGGACAGCTGGGGCTAGGGAGAAAAAATCTCAAAAAGACCAAAAAAAAAAAAAGTCTGTGTGTGGGGTATGTGTGTGTTCACATTTATTTTGATATATCACAGTGAAAGATTTATCGTCCTCTTTTTTTTTTTTTTTTTTTTTAAAAAAAAAAAAAAAAAAAAAAAAAAAAAAAAAAAAAAAAAACCACAAAAACTAAAAATTCAACTCTCTCACTAGGCAAATCATGTAAAGAATGTGAAAACAGATTGAGCTCTTTAACAGAAAACAATTTGGTGATTCATGTATTCAATAGAATGCCTTCTTCTAGCGTGCTGAGACTGATGGGGATAGACAACAGTCCTATCACAATAGTGTTTAATAGTTATTACATTCAGTTTAAGATTTAGCATTTAAATTTTAATATCACCAAAACCAATACAAATGCCAAAGTTTGAGAAGAAAGCTAGACTGATTTTGATGTCCTTCAAACATTATTCACACAGTATCACATGGCTGGGGTCATACTCCATTCCCCAGAGACAAAGGACATGATTGGGAGCATGCCTAAAGTCTCAGAGATAACATCTCACTTTCAATAGCCAACACATCTAATCAAGCATTTTCAGAGGTGAATAAAGAGTTAATGAAATCAAAGGGAAGAAGAGCAGCGAACCCCCCTAAGTCTGATTTCCTTCCCAGCTGGAAAGCACAGAAATGCGGCCAGCCTAGCCCCCCATGTGCCACAGCCATTATCTTATGAAGCCAACCAAGGCCAGCTTCCTGGCTCCATCCACTGCTACAGAGAACAGTGTCAGAAGACCTGAGGAAGTAAGGTGGGGACCAGTGGGAACATTAAAGACCTGTCCATCGGGAATATTATATTCAGTGCTTTCTTTCCTGTTGTTAAACTTCAAGACCGACGTCGTGGGTAGCTCAACTTAGAGCCCTGAGCTGAGGCAGGAAGCAGAATTTCAAGGCATATCCAAAGGCAGCTAGTATACAAATGAACAGAACTAGAGACTATCACTTGTTAATACTGCCTCCTTTCCATTCACGTGTCAATGAAATATTACATAGCTTGCTTAAGAGCAAGTCTTCAGAAGCTAAATTAACCCTTTGACTTAAGACTAAAGTTCTCCAGAAAATCAATTCTATTTCAGTAGCCCTACAAAGGGAAATAAACAAAAGAAGCCCAAACAGCCACCCATCCTCTCAAAATAAAATATTTACTGTAACTCATGAAATGACTTTTCACATGTCTCCAGGTTTCCTGACTCAGAGAGAAGGAAGTAGTGAGATATTATGGGAGAGGTTCATCTTGTTGCATTTCCAGACAGGCTGAGAGCAGGAAATCCTTGCAATCTTCTGAGAGAGCCACATCTCAAGACCGCCAGATCAAAAGGAGCCAGAAATTCTCCAACATCTGAGCCTGTCTGTATGAAGGGAGGAGGAGGACACAGAACTCTATCTTGGACTTTGCTTAACCTGAACAGAAATAATTCCCAGCTTTGGTGCAGTTCAAGAGCACCATGAGTGACTTGGAAGTGGTCTCCACTTTCCAGAATGCTAACCATACTGTACCACTGAAATGTAAGTAGAGACATGTAAGCCTGTTTCCCAAAGCTGATAAAGTTCTTTCCTTCCTTGTAATAGGTGGCTTCTGAAAATAATATTCTATTTTTCACCTGTCTCAAATCCTCTGAGATGTAAAGCTGCACATAGATAAATAAATAATTTTTAATGTAGCCTTCAAAAAAACAATTTTTTGGAATCAGGAATGGTAGCACACACATTTGACCCCAGGACATAGAGAAGCAGAGGCAGATGGATCTCTGTGAGTTCCAGGCCAGTCAGGGCTACATAGTGAGTCCCTGCCTCAAAAAATGAAATTTCACAATAAAAAAACTATATATATATATATATATATTTACATACGTATTTCAATCTTTTACTAAAAGTAGTATGTCCATGTAAAACAAAATACAACCTTTATATTCCTGGAAATTTT